CTTTTTTGGTATTTTATTCAGAGACAGGGTCTTGCTGAGTTGCTTAGGGCCTCACTAAGTTGCTGAGGCTGGACTCGTGATCCTCCTGCCTCAGCCTCCTGAGCACTGGGATTACAGGCATAAGCCACTGCACCCCGTCCCAATCTACTTTGATGGTTCCTTTGCATTTCCCCCTGAACGCTGAATGCTAGAGCACCCCAGGCTTAATCCTCACACATATTTGCTCCCCTGTCTCCCTGCCTTTGAGTTACTTTTCTCCATTTCCCATCCTCTGACCCAGAGAATCATTTACTTCCTCCTGAGTTCGGTGATGGGTCCCCTCTCTCTGATGGCAAGCCGTCTTTCTGTTTTATCCATAGCCGTATCCCTGTGCCTCGGACAGCATATGGCACATACAAGTTTCTCACAAAGTTATCTGATGAATGACAGAACCTCAGACTTCCAGGGTGAGTCCGTCGCTGGACAGCCCCTGTGCTCAGCGCCGATCTCTCCTAGGAATTCCCAGCTCCATCCTCTTTTGCAACCAGGGTGTTCATATTGTCAGGAAAGAAGAAAGACCTGGCCTTACGCTTGGGTTCTTCTCACTCCTAAATCCACTGAGATCATAAAATGGCGAGGTCTGAGAAGAACACCTGGAGAGAAGCACTTTTACGCCTGCCGTGTCACGCCCTTTCACACTGATCTTTGCGTTTGAAGTCCAGAAAGCCTGGACTTGAAGAATTCTCAGAACGTCATTTTTTGAAAAGTTTTAGTGCCGGTGACACTGCCCTCCACCTGATCCCTGCAAATGCTGGGACGGAGACAGAAACCTTGGGACATCAAATCCCTCGTACTCGGAGCCGCGTTTGCTTTCCAAATCTGCTCCTCCTCCGTGGCCAGTGGCTTCCGGTTGATAGGGAGGCTGGACTCAGTCTGAAACTCCCCACAGTCTCCCTGGTGTGAAAATCACACTCCAATAGACCAATGGCACTCGCTGCGCAGAGGCATTTTTTTTTGGCACAGCCAAGAGCCCCCTTTGTGCTACAAATAGCCACCGTTATTAAAAACAGCTGAGCTGACACATTGTTTTGTGTGTGCTGATGGGGTGAATGTCCAGTGTTTTCTCCAAGCCTGGCACCCCTGTCCTTACTTAGTAAGATGGGGAGCTTGTGGTCCTAATCGTGAATGGTACCGATGGGCCTGGGGCTCCTCTCTCCTTTCCAAAGCAGGTCTCATCCTCTCTGGAGCCATGATCTTGTCAAATTACATGAATGCGCATGACTGATTCTCCCCTGAGCTCCTGGGGAGGGTTCCTGAGGAGGCAAGACCTCATTACCTAGCCTCGGCAGCAGGGAGTGAGCCGCAGCCAGCAGCCAGCAGCCAGCAGCCAGCAGGGGGCGCCGTAGGCTTCTCACTTGGGAGCCTCCTGGGCGCCCACAGAGGAAGCCTTTTGAAAGGCTGGCAGATCAATACCTGCTTTCTCCCGCCACCATCACGATTTGCACATCACAATGCAGAGGACCTGAACTTGACCAGCCAGCTCACGCTCCCAGCCACTTTCCCCAGGTCCTCTTGAATGTAGCAGAGGGTAAGGGGTGGGAGGAAATGAAAGTAGCTGGCCTAGGCTCTGCCCAGCGTGGTGGGATTTTAAGCAAAGGGGCTTGGCAGGCTCCTGGATGAGATCACGGAAGTGAATGGCCACGTGGCCCCGGGTACTTGGTTGGAGGGGCTGGGTGATGGCGGTGGGTGGAGAGCAGGTCGGGTGGTCAGGGAGGCTTCTTTGTGATCTGACATCCGCACAGAAATTTGAAAATGAGAAGAAGTGGGTCCACCAAGATCCAGAGGGTTCTGGGAAAGGGGGATGGACCCGCAAAGGCCCTGAGGCAGAAAAAGGCAGGAGCTATTCGAGGAAGGGAAAGACAGCTGGAGGGTTCGGAGAGTGTCAGGGCCCAGATCTTGCAGGCCTTGTCACAATCTGTCATGGCAAAGAGTCTAGAGGGTTCCCTATGCTCAGTGGCAAGGCTGTGAAAAGAAGGGGGTGACATGCTTCAATTCAGCCTAGAAACAGCCACGAGGTGGGCCGCTGTTTCAGTCACTCAGCTGGGAGATGGTCCCAGGTTTGCTCCAGGTGGCCGCCCTGGGGGTCTGAGATAGGACTGAATAAGGCCAAGTGCATCTGCAGTGCAGGGTGACGGGGGTGGGTGGGGTGGGGTGGGGTGGTGGGGTAGGGGGGCAAGGCAGCCCGGCGGGCTGTCCTTGTCCTCTGCGGAGGCAGGGAAGGCCAGAGAGCAGCAGCTTTGTCCACGGGGAGATGGGAATTCCAACAAGGACCCTCCAGCACAACGTCCGCTCTTCTCCCAAACCCGGGCCTCGGGCCCCTGGAGACCCAGGCTCTGCCACCGCCCGTTCCTCCCGATTTCTAGGACTGGCTCTGCTCACCCATCAGCGCTCCATTACCGTCTCCTCCGCGTGGTGAGCTAATTGCTGTGCACGGATTACAACCTCTATTTCCAGGCAGGACCCATTGTGGTCACTTTTCCCTTTAGATTCGCAAGGATCGCCCTGGAAAAGCGGTTTACTTCCTCCTCGGCACTTTGTTTGCAATTAAGGGCCTCTAGAGGGGGTGATCTGTGAATCTGAGTCACCGGCCTCCAGGGCCAAAGAGCCCAGCCTCGGGCAGGAGAAAAATGGGAGCATCATGCTTTCCCCCTCGATTCCTCATAACAAACCTCGGGAGCTGGAAACGGTACTGAGCCTGGAAACAGACCGCATCAGAGCTGCTTTTAAAGAGAGGAACACTTAGGTACAATTTGGTCCTCTTTGTGCTAATTCATGACAGATTTTAATACTATGTTCTAGTTCCTAGCCTTATTTGGAATTTTCTCATCTGACCCTTTTAGACCCTCCGCTTAGAGGAAGGGCAGAGGCTAATTTGGGGACTTTGGTTCCATTTTGGTATTAAAATACCTGCAGTTTTCCTTTGTTGCTTCTGTACTGTGGTTTAGGGGGGGCACTGCTCAACTGGACTTTCAAGGTTGGGGCAGATTCTCTGCCCCTTGTCTTTCATTGCTGTGCAAGTCACGCCTTTCCCCGGGAGAGAAGTGGAAAGTGAGGTGCACACGCCACGCGGAGGATCTCTCGCTGTAGATCAGAGCTCGCTGAGCTCCGAACACTGTATTTAACTAATTATTCAGAGATCAATCTCCCAATCTACTTCTTTAATGTTTGAGGATCTAGGAGAGAGGAACAGGTTGGCTCTGACAGGTGGATCTGGGGCTGTGACAGGTCGGTCACGGTCATCCAAGGTTTCAAAGACCCCACGGGAAGCAAGTGTGCTCAATGGCAGGTGAAGGTGAAGCTGGGGAGGGTCAGCGTGACCTTGAAACCGTCACGTCGACTTCCTCCTATAGCAAACGAAACCGTCCCTTTCTCCTGGGCTGGTATGAAGGATGTGAGGTCCTGTGCAGAGAGCTCAGGACCGCGCTCAGGACGTGGGAAGCACTAGATAAACATGAGCAATGTCTCCACCCCTCGTTCCTGGGTTAGAGAGAAGGAGACTTGTTCAAGGCCACACAGCTCGTGCAGGGGAGAGCTGGGGTCAGAACTCGGGGCTGTGCAGGCGGGCGGAACACTGTTTGTATGACTCGGTGCAAAGAATCAAGATTTCAAAAGCTCTTCCTGGGCTCTTAACTACAAAGTGAGATTCAACAGGGATCAACACAAAGACATTCATTAGTGCTAAAAAAAAAAAATATTTATACGAGGGGAGGGGTGGACAGCCCTGGTTTGATCATTTCGAGAAGAGAGATGTCAAGGGGCAGGGAGGACGTTGCTTAATGGGAGAGCGGGCTGTTAGGGACAGTGCCTGCATTCTCTGGTGACAGGAGCACATCCTGTTCTGATCAGCGGCGGCAATAATAGCCCCAGCGCACTCGGCAGCGGGCATACGACTTCCGCTGCACCGTGACCAGGTCTGCAAACGACATTTCCAACAGGACAGAGTGTACCCTTTTACTATAGCCCAAAGCTTGGGGAAACCAGGTCTGAGGCAGGATGACTTTGCCACTGAGCCACATCCCCAGCCCTTTTTATTTTTTTCTGTTTTGAGACAGGGTCTCGCTAAGTTGTTGAGGCTGGCCTTGAACTTGCGATCCTTCTGCCTCAGCCTCCAGAGTGGAGGGGATTATAGGCAGGTGCCACTATACCCAGAAGGTTTCTCCTTTGAAAGACATGAATTCGTCTTGGGTGTCGCTGAGAAGGCTCACTGGGTTTAACACAAACTGCTAAGAAGACAGACTTGGGTTGTATTAGGTAATCAGGTATTTCACTATATTATATAGATTGGATATTTGGCTATGTTAGGTGTTCAGATAATTTCTAACAAAACATGGAGTGCATTTTTTGGGGGGGACTGGACAAACCCCCCTTTCATCCCAGAGACATTTAGGCAGAGGCCAGCTAGCTATTTTTGCAGCACTCTGCAGAAAAATGGTCCACCTGGAGGAAATGCGGGAACTAATGTTTCTGACGAAGATCCTGGGGTCCAGTGAGCCCTCAGCAATTCCACACGAGTGTGGCCCACTGTGAAGAATCGCTCAGAACTTTTCTCTTTCCCCTGTTCACAGGACCAGCACCGTCTCCTTTGTTCCTGCCTCTAGGCACAGGAAACCCACAGGTGACAGGCACCAAGGCGGGGAATGCGGCTCGGTGGCACTTTGCAGTGGTCCTCCAAGGAGGGAGCAGATGCCCTCCCATGCGGTGAGTGGCCCCTGGGAGCCGAGGTGGACACGTCCACATTCCTACCTGGACTTGGGGCTCTGGAGGTTCTGTCGACTCAGGAGTCGCGCGGCGGAGACTCGCTTTTTGTGGACGTTGGAGAGCCCTGTGGAGAGCGACACGGTCTCCCTCAGAGGGGGTTAGGGGCACCTCTAAGGTGCTCCAGGTTTTCAGGGACCCTCTATTCCTGCTCCCACTGCGGTCAAGTGAAGAGACAAGACATGAGAATGGGCTGGGATCGGCTGGCACCGAAGCGGATGGCTTGGGGACTTGTCATTCCAAGGGAGAGAGAAGCTCCCCAGTGCACTGGGTGTGGGGCAGGCGAGGGGCGAGTCCACTCTTGAAGGCTTGCCCTTGGACGTCCAGCAAACCGACCCATTGAGGGCACTGAGGTGCCTTTCCAGGTGAGGTCCCCCACCTTCCCTCCCCCCCGCCCCCCCGCCCTGTCGCTGTTGCAAAGGGCCTCCTGGTGGGGGCGGGGCGGTGGTGCCCAGTACCCTGGGTAAGCTCTGGTGCTTCGGCCACGTAGGTGAGGCGGAACTTGTTCCTCTTCCAGCTGCGGTCGTTGCTGATGAGGGAGTTGTTGGCCTTCTCGATGTTGACGTCGTCCCCCACGCAGAACACATCACAGGCCGCCTGCGGCACACACAAGGGTTTGGGGGGCCTCTCTTGGCCAAGAGAGGCCCCTCCCCAATAGTCCCAAGTCATGGAATCTCTTTTTCCATCTACTCAACCTCCCTTTTTTCTTTCCCTCTTCCCTCCCTTTCTCTCTATCTCCCTCCATCCTTCACCCACCCATCCATCCATCCTGCCATCCACCTGCCCATCCATCTATCCACCCATCTATCTATCCACCCATCTATCTATCCACCCACCCACCCATCCATCCTTCCATCCACCCACTCATCCATCCACCCACCCATCCATCCATCTATTCTTCTATCCACCTGTCCATCCATCCATCCATCCACCCACCCATCCATCCATCCACCCACACATCCATCCATCCATCCATCCACCCACCCATTCATCCATTTATCCACCCACCCATCCATCCTTCCATCCACCTGTCCATCCATCCATCCATCCATCTACCCACCCATCCATCCATGCATCCTTCCATCTACCTGTCCATCCATCTATCCATCCATCCACCTACCCACCCATCCATCCATCCTTCTATCCACCTGTCCATCCACCCATCCATCCATCCACCCATCCATCCATCCATCCATCTACCTGTCCATCCATCCATGCATCCATCCATCCATCCATCCATCCATCCATCCATCCATCCATCCATTGTTCCATCCACCTGTCCATCCATCTACCCATCCATCCATCCACCTGACCATCCATCCATCCACCCATCCATCCATCCATCCATCCACCCATCATCCACCTATCCATCCATCCATCCACCCACCCACCCATTCATCCATCCATCCATCCACCCACCCACCTGTCCATCAATCCATCTATCCATCCACCCACCCATTCATCCATCCATCCATCCACCCACCCACCTGTCCATCAATCCATCTATCCATCCACCCACTCATTCATCCATCCATCC